GAATTCAAGGAAATACAGTATTTTAGGTGTTTTTTTTTTTCAGAATAAAGTTATAAAAATAGATAATATTAGAGCCCTTCCTCCTTTCCTCCCTTCTTCCTTTTACCTTAGCAAATGATGCTTTGTTATTTTCTCCCTTGATTCTGTGTGGCTAGGAAGGTAGGGTTGATCCTGGAAAATCACACTTCACTGCAGTGTGGGTAGCCTCCATCCTCCCCTCCAAACTCTGACAGGCTGTCTTTCAGGACTCCATCGCAGGAGTCACGGAATTGGGTATGATGCATCAGTTCAGTTCAGTCGCTCAGTCCTGTCAGACTCTTTGCGACCCCGTGAACTGCAGCACGCAAGGCTTCCCTGTCCATCACCAACTCCCAGAGACTCCCCAAACCCATGTCCATTGAGTCAGTGATGCCATCCAGCCATCTCATCCGCTGTCGTCCCCTTCTTCTCCTGCCCTCAATCTTTCCCAGCATCAGGGTCTTTTCAAATGAGTAAGCTCTTGGCATCAAGCTTCAACATCAGTCCTTTCAATAAACACCCAGGACTGATCTCCTTTAGGAAGGACTGGTTGGATCTCCTTGCAGTCCAAGGGACTCTCAAGAGTCTTCTCCAACATCACAGTTCAAAAGCATCAATTCTTTGGCACTCAGCTTTCTTTANTGGTCTCCACCCGGTATGCAGTCTGTGAGTACACATGCTCTCTCTCAAGGGAAGGCCTCTCCTGATTTACTTGCCTATCATTATTCCCATATAATCAACATACTATGCCTGTAACTGAAGTATGCCTATCTAGTAGTTGTATATGAATAACCACAAAAATCTCTTAAAACAAACCAGGGCACTTCCCTGGTACTCCAGTGGTTAAGACTTCACCTTCCCACACAAGGTGTGTTGGTTTGATCCTGGGTCGGGGAGCTAACATTCTCATGCCCTGGGGCCAACACCACCCCCCATCCAAAAAAAACAAAAACATAAAACAGAGGCAATATTGCAAGAAAGTCAATGAAGACTTTTAAAACGGTCCACATCAAAAAACCTGTAACATAAACAAACAAAACTCCATTGATTCTGAAGTTTGCAAGGTGCTGTGAGAATGCAGGAAGGGGGGTCTGCTTGCCCCCGCCGATCAGGACGCAGAAGCAGCCTTGGAAAACGCCAATAGCACGTACACCGCCGCGGGAGAAAGAGTTGCACCCTTTTATTGGCAGAGTAACTTGGCAAAGGTGCTATGATTGAAAAGTTCCAGGGTGCAGGACACGCCGGTCCCAGGCCAGCAGAAGCGCACGCGGGAGCGAGGCGGGCGCATCACCGGAGGGGCGGGATTTAGCGCCGGTGAGCGGCCGCCGAGCTCGGAGACCACCAGTCTTGTGCCGCGTCACTGCTCAGACCAGCAAATCTCAGCCCACTTGCCGGTACCGTGGAGACCTTTGGCTGTGAGTCCCCTGCATACCCCCCAGCCACGATTCTGAAGCTGCGCTCATTAAAGGTGGGGGGGGGGGGTGCGCATCATTTCCTGTAATCCCTACTTAAGTCAGAGGGTGAAATTTTAATGAAGAGCTCACCATCCATGTGCCCGGCACACAGGACACGGGAAGGAACCGTCTCCCGATCAGTGAACGAAACAGAAGACATCGGACTCGAGCTGTAAGTCGGCAGAGCTTGTCACGGCGAAGCTCAAACAAGGACAGGGTCAGGGTCTCGGGAATTTCAGGTGCTTTACATTAAAAAATTAAAAAAAAAAAAAAAAGGTGAATTCTTTCCTGTTGTTTTTTTGTTGTATTCTTTTCTCTCTTACTTTTCCCCTTTATTTATTATTAGGTTATTTCTAAGCACCATGGCAAAATTGAAATTGTAGGTTGTGTTTACTATAGTCCACAGAGCTCCTACTGGGATGCTTATAAGTTTCTGGTGATTACACTGCAGTCTTTCAAGCTGTGTAACCTATAACCTACTCCAGTGGTTACTCTATTAGATGGTCTAATTATATATAAGCTGTAGGCCAATGTTACTTTTACCTTGAAATATAATTATAAGAAAAATAGAAGTGAGGGGGGGAAGAGGTTATTGTCTAATAATACTAGAATGTTCTGTAATAATGCTGTTTCCTGTTAATCTCTTTATTTTTCCTGCAGGCCTGTATTTGGCCTTTATTTATTGTTTGCAGCAGTATTTTACAGAACTAATCTTATTTAAGTATGAAAGGTAGTGTTTATGTATCTAAAGAATCAGTGTACTTATCACAAAATGTTTGACAAAGACATTTTTCTCATTATTGTGCCTTTTTTTGAGTGCTTTTAAATAATTGAAGACAGTATTCTAGGTTATATTAACAATGATGAGTCCTACAACACTGCTTATAGCTATATCATCTTTGGACAAACCACATTTACACATCTGGGTCTCAGGCTTATTATCTATCAATGGTAAACTAAGAATAGATAATCTATAAAGTCCTTTCAAAGTTTCTGTAACTGTGTTTTGTTCATATACTTGCCCATAGAAAATAATTGCTCCTGTGAAATCATGAACATACATATTTCTTAAGAGAATTATGGGAATTATGAGAGATTCTTAAGAGAACTATGTCTTCTCTCTAGAAATAAAAATCTATGCTTTCAAATGGCCATTGAACACAATAAAAAATACAAATTATTTTATCTTATTAGAGCAACTTATAGCAGTATGTTTATAAAATGTCATATTTCATTTCCATAAGGCAGGATATTTGTTCATAGAGAACAAAATGTAGTCCATACATTAGTATGAAGAAGGTTAGGATGAAAATTATATTTAGAGACAGTTATAGAAATCCTGTCTAAATATATTACTAGACTTTAATACTTAAAATAATGTGCAAAAAATATGATACAATAGCACTTAGCAACCTTAACACACATTCTTCAATTCATTAATTCAGTAAATGTTTAAAGAATATTTACTATGTGCCAAGAGCTCTATCCAGGATATCACAGTGAAGAGGGCTATCATCCGTGAAGGACCTTAACGGCCACTGTAGGAAGTTTGGTTGAAGAAACATGAAGTCACGGGGGGTTGTGAGCAGAAAGTGAAACAGTTAAATTTATATTTAACAGAATGACTGTGGCTGTCGTGGACTTCCCTGGTGGCTCAGCTGGTAAAGAATTCACCTGCAATGCTGTTCAATCCCTGAGTTCTGTCCCTGGGATCCCTGGGTTGGGAAGATCCCCGCGAGGAGGGAAGGACTACCCAGTCCAGTACTCTGGCCTGGAGGATTCCATGAACTGTGTAGTCCGTGGGGTCGGAAAGAGTCAGGCACGACTGAGCAGCTTTCACTTCACTGTGACTGTTGTATTGGGGCAAGGATTGGGAAATTCGGGAACAAAATTACATGCATACTGCAGTTTTGAAGGTTAGAGTTAGTGATACAGTGGATATGGCGGCAATTTGTTGGTTATGTTTCAAGTAAAAAATCAAGGAAATTTGCTGAATCAAAGTTGAGAGAGAAATAGAGGAGTCAAAAGTGACTCTAGGTTTTTGATCTGAATATCTGGAAGCCTGGAAAGTGAAGTGAAAGTGTTAGTTGCTCAGTCGTGTCTGACTCTTTACGACTCCATGTACAGTAGCTTGCCAGCTTCTCTGTGCACTTGAATCCTGGAGTTGACATTAACTTCAGTGCACAAGACCTCAGATGAGGAAAATTAAGATAATTTGAAATATGTATTAGTCTATTTCCATAGACAAAGAGTATATTAGATTAATGCACTGTGAATCCACTCCTGATTTTAATTTTCTGTATTGAATACAATAAATATTTTTGAAAAGAAACTTTAATTTGTCATTGTTTTTTTGTGGTTTTGAGATTTTATATTATTTTTTGTTTGTTAGATACTCCAGTAGCATGTGCTGAAACCATCTGAGGATTCTTTGAAATTTCTTCTTTGGCATTCAAGCTCAGGCTGTTTTCATATTTCCTGTATTTTTGCTAGGACCGTAATGAACTTGCAAATACTTCAAATGCTTCTGAAGTATGTCAAATTCAGTTTCAGTGACATAGCTGTATTTTTGAAAACTTGTCATTGACTCTTTGCTAGATGACATACGCTTTTTGATTGACAAATCCATAATAAGGGAAACAAATTGTATAAGAGTCCTTGACTGTTTAAGCTTTTTAAGTTTAAGTAGGAATGCTGTGCAGGGACATTTTATCATGTTTTAGTCAGGGCAAGAGGAAAACAAGAGAAGTTAAAATGGAAGATGTGACTGTTAAGTCAGATCTCAGTTGACTTGTGAGGTCACTATCATATCAGTTTAAGTCAGTGTTTAGCTAGCTCTTAGGAGTCCCAACTTCCTTAGAAGTTTGCTGTAAGCAGTCGATTCACTCACCAGAAAAATAATGGCCCAACATTAAAATTTTGCTTATAATTAAATAAATTTAAAGTTTGGTAGAACCAACACAATACTGTGAAGCAGTTGTCCTTCAATTAAAAATAAATAAATTGAAAAAATAAACTGAAAACTTAGCACAAATTTCATGGATTTTTCTTCCTTTTAGTATCTTCTTCTCATGTATTTTGAACACAAAGGGTCTTAAAGATGGGGAAAAAAATTTAGATATTCCCAGAGACTTCCAGATAAGGGATGTCTATACTTTAAGGAGTAAACCTGAAATGTTCTTAGTAAAATTCTTAGAATTTTAGCAGTTTAAAGCCAAAAGATAAGAAATGTTGGCTAAGAAAATCATACATGGTTTTACTAGCCTTTAGAAACTGTACTCCTTGTCATTATAAAACAGTGCCTGTTTGTGTTTGTCTATGGGAGGGGGGCGGGTGGGGGGAGTGTTTGCCTGTAGTCAGCCTGTTCAAACTGATTAATATTTCCTATTAGAGCTTTTTAAGAAGCGATGAGAGTCAAAGATGTGACATCCTCTACTCTAAAGGTCACTTCTTCCTTTTCCCCTACAAACCCCTACCCCAAATTTCTCTTAGCTGCTGAGTGCATTTACAGTAAATAAAATACATATGTAGAGCAACTTTATGGGCATTTTATTTTTTTTTCTTTATGGGCATTTTAAATGGTGTCAAATGGTGTCACAGATTTTTCTACTTTTTCTTATCTTATGTATTTTGAACACAAAGTATTTTAACATGGAAAAATAACGTGAAAGGAGGTTAATTATGATTGTGTTCCTTGAGACATAATTCATGGCATTTCAATTAAAAGTTTAATTGGTATATATTGAATTCATTCTCCCAGTGATTAAAACTTTAGATATTCTGGCAGAGCAATGAAATTCTGATATTAATGCATTATTTTTTTAATATAAAATAAGTTGGTCTTAGTTGGTCCTAAGAATTAAATATTAAGGCTAATATTTTACCCTTTACCCTACGATTCTCTGTAGCCTAGGAGACAAGTCACAGTGTCTGAAGAGAAAAAGAACTGTACAGTTTATGAGACAGAGTGGTTAAAGATTGAGTTTCCCACATCAGTTCTGGGACCAAGCTGATTGTTACACTTAGCCTGCCTTAGAAGTGATTGCAACCTAACAGAATATCTTTTGAAATGTTTCAGTTGTTGCCTTTTAATTTCATTTTGCTCCCTAGCTGGTTTCTTCTGATTTCATGTACTTTAAATTGAATTTTCATATTCTCCTTCTCTTTTTTGTTTAAATTGTGATGTTTAATAAGACCTTATGAGATGTCAATATCTAATTTTTTTCCTGGTACAAAATTTAGAACTGATTTTTGTACAGTGAATTTTCATTGCTCAGAAATAATTCAATGTATGTACTTGATGTTGACAGAAATACAACATGTTTTCGTGAAGGTCCAGTGGAAACAGAGTTTATAAAATTTCATAATGAATTTACCTTGTAAGGCATTTACATTGTCTCTCGCCACATTATGACAAGAAAAAAAGAAAAGTAACCCCACCCCCAAACTAATTCTGTGACATCATGGCAATTTTTTTTTTTAAAGCAAACACAATTTGTTTTTCACATTGTTCTGATGTTTAATAACAGTTTGCTGTTATTTATTCTTTTTATGTGCTTTTTAATCAGATACAAATTTTAGTAGGGAAGTAAGCAAACATTCCTAAAAATGAATTATAAACAACTGTTTTAGAATACTAAAAGGATTTTTAAAACTTTCAATTCAACAAAGTTAATATTTTTCCCTAATTGAAATAATGGAAAAACATAAGTGTAGACACTTTCATGGCTTAGGGGAAATGGTCTTCAGGCCCCCAGAGTCATGTTCCTTAGCAGCCATTGTTGAGATCTGGTTCCACTACAGTCCTGCATGGTAGGCACCATTTTGTCTTCTTCAGAAGGTTCATCTAGACATTGATTACTGTTAACATGTCTCAAGGTGAGTCTCTGTAAAAGATAACCAATAATCAGTGCAACATGTTTTATCTTAAACTGCACTAGCTCATCAGATTAAATCTACTCTTTAAAATATCCTGTATGATTTTTTTTGGTATAAACAGTGTGATGATGTTTGTAAAAGGAACTGTGCACAGGGGGCTCTGAGTTAATTATTATACAACTTTCACTGTTATGATTTCATCATTGTCTAATACACCTTTATTTGCAGAAGGTTAAAGAAATTGGCTGATATTTATCATGCACTGCCAAGAATTCAGACTCCTTTGCAAATAACCTATTACAGAATCTTAGTTTTCTTAGGCATGTGTTATTTAGTAACCATTTGGCAAACATGCAAAGAGATGTCACTGCTGGGACTCAAAACTTGAAGAGATGTTCCCATTTCAAAATACTGTTTGAGCCACAGTATCTGTGATTGTGAGACATTCATTGTAGGAGAATAACTATCATGGCAACAAAGATCTGTCTTACTTGATAGTGTGATCATCATATTTACTGTGCCTTTTTAGGGATCTTAAATACCAACATCAAATAAATATATGATGGACATGTATTTTAAAATATTATATCTATATATTTTCATAATAATATTTATTAAGAAGCATCTTCTCAGTACCCAAATGCTAAAATGTAATTCCAATAATTTCATCATGTTAACCAGTCATTGCATCTCTTTTGGGTCCATATTTACACTTCGACGTCATATTTTTGAACTTTTCAGATAAACATTTTAAGTACACATGGCTTTACATACATAATAATTTATGCACTGATTATATACAATATCATATACTGTTCTGCTCAGTCGGTCTAGAACCATACTATATGGAAAACTTCCCGGCCAGAAGAGGTATGTTTGAATATAGAAGGTGATTTGGAAATATATCTTGAAAAAAAACATGCTGTATACTTTTGTTGCAAATTACCAAAATTAAAGGGAGACAAATACTTCTTTTGGTTGGGTGGGGGGGTGGACTCTTGATCATCTTCGCAGTGGTGCTAGTGGTAAACTGGTAAAGTGTCAATGCAGGAGACATAAGAGACGTGGATTCAATCCCTGCGTCAGGAAGATCCCCTTGAAGAGGGCATGGCAGCCCACTCCAGTATTCCTGTCCTGAGAATCCCATGGACAGAAGAGCCTGGTAGGCTACAGTCCATAGGGTCACATAGTCAGACACAACTGAAACAACTGAGTATGAGCTCTTGATATTATATTGAAAGTTGGAAGATAAAAAAATGCAGGGGATATGCACACACACACAAAAGTGGGAGAGAAACACTACCTAGACAATTACAATTTGTTTTGGATTAGGGCTACAAACACCCTGGACTGCACTGTCCTGAGAAAAGATAGAATGGAAAATAAGCTTGTGGTAAAAGATGCTTAATAGACAACAAGCAGGAAATTAAACGAGCAAGGCTATTATATGTGAAGAAGATTTGAAAACTTTGGCCTTTGTTGTTGCTCTTTTCAATACATGAAGACCATTTATACTGAAAAACAGACAAAAGAAGAAATGGCCAAAGATAGGCAAGAAGATAGCTGATTTATGCTTATAATGCCAGAAATTATGTTGTTGGTTTATGAACCAACAGCCAGATTGAAAAAAGATACAAAACAGAAACATTGTTTTTAGAAAATTCTAGTTAAAAATCAACAAAATGTTTTTCATTTTTGTTACATACCTGAGGTCCTTTGTGTATATATGTCCTTTTCCAAAAAAGCCACTTACCCTTGTATGCTTCTATTAGATCCTTTTAAAAAATATGTATATGACTTTAAGGATTAGATTGAATATGTATTGTCAACTACACATATAATGATAACTTCTAAAACATTAGTATTGTTTAAAAAATTTTTTTGAAGAAATTCATTAGTAGTCAAAAGCCACTGCTGTTAAGATAACAACCGACCAAGGAAAGTATTCTCCTTTTCAGTGTAGTGGGGCAGAAAGATCAGTCATTTTAGGTAGGGTTAGATAGCCATAAATGTGAATTTCTGCTCCCCAAGTTACTAGCTATGAAGATTTGGGCAAGCTACTAAATCATTCTGAAGACTTAGATTCCTTCAGATGCTTAGTTATACTTACTATATATATATGTAATTATACTTAATATATATATACTTATTGTGTGTATATATATATATATATAAATGCTGTTTTCTCTACTGCTTAAAATATCTGACCTGTAGTCAACTGTCTGTGATCTCTTGCCAACCTGATAAGGGTAAAATTGTTGACTATAATATGTTTAAAGGCATAGTTATGGTAAACGTGACCTTTGACTGATTTACTGCATCTTCATCTGATAAACTGCATTATAATACCTGACAGGAAGCCAAGTAGTGGACTTTTCTAAGTGCAAAGTGTACTTTTGCATATTCCCTGGGTTTTGGGCAGCTGTTAGAGATATTGTCTCCTTTGAGGCATAGGCTATTACACCAGGGTAGTTTTCCACAACCGCTTGATGTGACTCGCATGGCCTTGCTCAGGGCTATCACCTGTGGAGAAGCTTGCTCTCATAAGAGTATATAAACTGCTGTGGAACTTTTGCAGAGTCTGAGAGAAGCAAGTTGTGGTTTCTGCCCTTGCATTCTGTAAGTTGACATGGAAGATTAAATAGTTAAATCTGAGAGGACCACTTGATGGGCATTGTACTTTCCAATGTTTCTTTGAAAACAAATGAAGATGATAAATGTAGGTTGTCTTGTATACAAGTTCTCTTTGTGCAAAAAGTCCAGACTTTGCCAGCTTTCCAATGCATGTTTGGAATGCCCTTGTCTCAAGTGTAAGCCTAATCTAAACAACACACCTCCTTTCTCCTCCGCTCCTCCCCATGCTTCCATTTCCAATCTTGTCACAAGTATTCCAAGCTCAATTGTGTCTTCTATTATCAATCTTTTATTATTGATCTGAACCAGACCAACTCCCTGACTTTCTGTGTGTTCACATAGGGAAGAATTGGACATTATGATAGGTTTTATTTACAGTACAATAATCCCCTTAAAATCAAGAACCAGGACAGATACATATTTGTACTCTTTACAAGAATGCCATACCAGTTTTTTGACTTGAACTGAATAATGGTTTATATTATTGCCTACTGTGAAGATATTCACAATCACACAAGTCAGAAATGGAAGTACAGTTCTTAAAAGCTTTTATTATTATATCACTTAAGTAACCACAGAAAGTGCTTAGAAATAATTTACTTCATAAAGTTTTTGAAAATTAGTCTTCAATAATGCATTTGTTTCCAGTTAAAATAGTAAATTTTAGAAAGGATATGTTATATTTTCACACAATGTAGCTGAATAAAAATTAACAAAATTTAATAATTTCATCCTTCTAAAAATAATTTTTGGCTATGTTATTTTTTTATTTTTCAGCTGTAATACAAAATCTCCTGTCATATAGACATGGGTATAGTTAGCCTAAAAAGAGCTTATATGCCATTTTGTAATTCCATCATTTATGCTTATGTATATTTGAAATATGGAAAAAACTGGAAATACCTATTGATAATAAGCAAATACCACTTAATATATGCAGCCTCCAAAGTAATGAGCACCTAAAGATGAAAAATAGCTCCATGGAGAAATAACATATAAATTTTTAAAACACATTTTAAAGAAGTAAGTTCAGATTTCAATACACAGCATAACAAAAACACTAAAATTTTATAAAGTCTGCTATACAAACCTCCAAAATTATTTGAGAAAGTAATCAGTAGAATTCTTAAAAATATTTCTAAAAATTTCCATTCTTGTATAGTTTCTTAGAAGCCATTTTTGCAAAGGGCTATCATTACATATTTCCACAGCAGGCTGTTGGGAGCCATCAGCTACTTTGCTTATTGAGAGACAGGACTGGGTGATTATGTGAAGAAGAGTGTGGGTCTGTTTGACAAAGAAAATAATGAATAATGACAAAATCAAGTACAAAGGCAGTAATAAATCAGTCATTCTCAGCAATATACAATTTCTACTGGGTAAGCACGGAAGGCACATATCACACTAATTTCATTCATGGAACTTTGAGCCACATCCCTTCAGTAGGAGCAACTGAAGATAAGACTGAGAATATGGAGAAGCGCCTGAGATCAAATGGTGAAACATTTGAGACAAAAGTTTATTTTGGATAGAAAACGTTACATGCTTAGTGTTCATCCCAGCAATAAAATGCTCTTAGCATTAAATGAGTTATTTTTCTCTAGGTACTTCAGACAAAACCTTAACCAGAGGAAATTTGAAATCTGAAATAATCCTTTTGAGATGTTATTTTTCATTTTAAAAAACACATAAAACATTTAGTGCTTTCATTTGTTTGAAAAAAAAAATATTTTTTCCTTAGTATTCTGTATAGAAGAGATACCAATTGTTAATATTTTTTTCTAGTAATTTTAATCACTTTTATGTAATTGAGCTCATCTAGTTAAATAGGCCTCACTTTATATTATGGGCATCATTTTTAAAGTTAACTATTCTAAAAACCTAAAAAATAATTTCTACAGAGGAGACTTGCCAAAAATCATTTAACTCTCCATTGGGGATATGCAGTTTGGAGCTACTAGGAGGAATGCTGGGATAAACATCTCTGAACATCTCTCTCCATGTGTATCTCGTTTCTTTACAGAGGATTCTTAGAAGTGAAATCCCAAGATCAAAAGGTATGAACATTTTAATATGTGTTAGCAAGATAAAAAATCTATTAAACATCTATAATACTTATTTTGTAATAATAGCAGCAGCTTTATTGTGTTTACTATATATCAGAATACTGTATTTGTGTCAGTTTCACTGCATCTGCATTAGTACTGTGTGTTGCCACTATAAATATTTCTTAACATATGGACAGGATAAAGAATGATATGGATAAAAGAACACATGTGAAATGACTTTTTATAGTTATTTAGTGGTTTTTCATATTTATTTAAAATAACTTCTTTTTCATCTTCATTGGTTAATTTCTATTTTTCCTATACTC